ATAAACAGTAACCTCTGCAATTTTCAGAAATTACCTTTATATGTTTAGATGTTTTTGAGGGATGCACAATTTTTCAGAACATGTTGGAAAATGCTGAAAAGTAAAGTTGCAAGAGCCACAACACAAGCTTGAAAGAACACAGAGGGTTTTGCAGGGTGCAGAAGAGAAGTCCAAAGTTAGCCGTTTACCTGTAGGTCCTGGTACCTAGCATGAGATCCCCATAAAAAATTCCTCCACTTCAAATTTGAAGAGGCAAGAACTATCCAGTTGCAGTGCTGTTAGTCAGCTTCCTTTTATGATGCATTTCTCATGGCATTTTGCCTTTTTAATTGCTTGGGGAACATCATTAGTATAGGTGGGAGTTTTATTTCTGGCAAACGTGTATCACAGAAATCCCTCGGCCACCTCTGCGGAAAGGTGAACGATTAAATGTGCCATAGCCAAGAACTCCTTTCTGGGCTGGAGTTGGTCTTTGCAGGTCAAGGGGCCTACACGTAATGAAATGGAAAAGTTCATAACATTATTCTGCCTTCTCTGGGAAAGATGCAGGATCTTATTCTCCAGGTCTATGGATTCGCTCTTTTTGTTTCAGTTTGGTTAGCATAATGTTCTTTTGTAGGCAAGGTTACAGAAATATCACTGCTTTTCTTCAGGAATGAAAAAAAAGTGTGAAAATTGTGATTAGGACATATATAGTTATATGTCTTATAATTATTGTATTATATTGCATGTACATATAGTACACTTATAATTAGTGTATGTCCTAAAGGTTTTTTTCTCTTCAGATGTCATGTATTTCTTTTTGATCTTGGTAAGTAAAGTAGGTAGTAGCAGGGAGGAAAAGAAGTATATGAAGCCTTTTGGTAAAGAAGGTTGGTATGTGTGTAAAGTGGTGTTATATATATGTGTGTGTGCTTATATATAGTGTATGTGCACATGTATAAATAAGTATGAAGATTGATGTAAAACAGTGTGAAATAGGATGGCTTGAGATTTTCTGCAGGGATCATGCTTATTTGGGTTATACAGTACTTTGTTCGGTTGGGGCTGTGGCTATGGCTGTGGCTTTCGTTCTTAAGGTTACAAATAC